CTGAATGCTCTCTCCTTTTATTGGGAAGGCTGTATCTAATAGAATCGAAGTGACTTTGGGTAGAAATTTCAAAGCCTGTGGATTCATATAGTCCTTAATAAAGTACAGTTAGGAAAAGGTTTACTCATTCTCACAGTCAAGGAAATGAGAAAGTGTAAAGATGAGAGCCATCAAGTTGTCCTTCTTAACAAAACGAAATGGCAGTTTGCTTTCAGGAGGATATACTCCTTTGGGTTCATTCTCTGCAAATATGTGGCCATGTCTGAGTTTCTACTTCATCCCTAGAGAGTTGAAGGCCGAATAAAAACAAAACAAAGAAGCTGGGTCTTCTTTCTTGAACTGAGTGAACTGCTTACCTTTGGGGAACCAGCAAAAATGATGTCAAGAAGATAAAGAAAGCTGAATCTTCCTTGGTCACTCGTTTAGTGCCAGGCTCTTTTCTCCAATAGCATTGAATCCTTGTTAATTACAACCCAGACTACAGTCTGTTAAAGTTAGAAGTCATTTACTTTAACAAAATCCCCTTGTTTTATAGACAAGGACATTTTAACCCAGGAAGTTTAAATGCCTGCAAAAGTCATGCAACTAATGAATGACAGGTCTGGGAGCAGTTTTCTGAGCTCTATATATCAAACGAAAAAAAGCCTGAGTTCATAAGAATAACCTAAACCTAGGAAGGTTTATGCAATCAATAACAATGAAAGTTAATTGCAAAGTTTCACTTAAACTCTTTAAAAACAGTATGCTTTAACACATGAAGAATGTCATTCGTTTATTCAGATCTGTTCTTAATAACTATGCATTGGAAGGATGTTTTACAAAAACCATAAATCTGGGGTAGCTGAAAGGGTATCCAACTTTTGTTTCTAATTGATTTACTTCTCCTTTTCCCCAGACTGCCCGAGGTAAAGAATATACAGTTTATTTAAGGGACTGTTTATAGGCTCTTAAAACTAAAAAGGACCCTAGAACCTCTCTTTCTCTTTTGGTTATTCTTAATTGAAACCATCCAAGATGGTTGGTTGGTTCTCAATTTTCTAAAATATTTCAAAGGAGAAAAATTCCAGAAGCTCCCAAACTGCATGTTAAAATGGTTAATCATCATAGTTGTAAAAAAATTATACCTATGGCAAGCTTAACTTCTCCCATTTCATTTTACTCACTGATGTGTTTCAGGCAAAATGAGGTTCTAATGGGACAGCATCTATGCAGGCTCCAGCAGACTGGCAATATAATACCTAGCTCTTATACAGGAAATTTTTGCCTCTACAATGGCACCATATTCCTCACAGGACCCAGAGATCACAAGGCTGGTTGACACTCTCTCACTCTGATGCATTGGGAAGAATCAATAATTAGCTCTTCATTGGATCCTTCATTTCATAAAATGTCTGGGGAAACTTCATTAATTATAGATGAACTGTTCTACTTATGCTGGGAAGATATTCACAAAAGAGATCTAGAAGGTTGTGTCTACTGCACTCCGTGGAACTTGGGCTAGGAGGGAAATATGAGCTCATTCGCAAAACTGGGTCAATCTATACAAAGTAAGCATTACATTTTTTTTTTTTAATTCAGAACAGTTCTAATAGGATTCAGAAGTTCTTCTTGTTAAGTATTCTGTATTGGCTAAAAAAATACAGATGGAGGCAAATTTCTCTTAGATATTCAAATTTCAAACTAAGATCAGACACTGCCTTCCATTATTAAGAAAAAAATCCATACTTACAAAGTAGAGTTGAAACAGTTTAAAATAAAGGGCATGCTCACAATGAAACTTTGAAAATAAGTGCAAAAATAGTATCAACTGGCAAGGGATAGAAATGTGGAAGAGGACTTCCCTTTAAATAGGATTTCAAGGACTGTAAATGCTTAGGGCTGACTTCTCCACACACAGTAAATCTCAGGGGATAAAAAGGAAACTCAATAAAATTTGTTGACAACAGTTAATGCCTGTAAGAATAACTGGCTAAGACACAAAACAGACCATCAGTGGAGCTCGGGGATGACCAGAAGACAGCTTCTAAGTTATTGTTAGCGTATATACATTACAGTCAGTGGAAGAAAAGCAAAACAGTTTTATCAAATAACTGGGCAGGCATGAGGTGAGAAGTCTGTTCCAAAGTGTTTGATAATCATAATTCTTGGTGGTTCTTAACCTGAGATCTCACACAAGGAATTCCATCAGGTACACTTGGATTCAATCTCATCAGTTCAAAAATAATAGGTATGAGCAACTATTGTTTCAAGTAGACTTTGAATGTGGTACTGATCTTCAAAGATTAATAGATGTGGCCTTTGAAGGAGCCAATTTAGAGGGTATTGTTATTCACAGGAGATTAGAGCCAGGTAAGTACGTGGCATTGAGACCATATAGTCAGGAAAAGCATCAAGAATAACCTTCTCCCAAGATTATTTTCTTTTATGGCTCTTGATAATGCTTATGTGCACTTTAAAAAAACCCTCTCAACTAGACTGTGACTCCCTTAAAGGCAAGGTCAATCTCTTACTCATCTCTAGGCATCTCATTTATACTTAGAGCAGGGGCTATGCACGACAGATGTTCTTTCAGTGTTTTGAGGTAAACTAAAACAATTTTTTTTTTTGGTCTTTTTTGAGATAGGGTCTCCCTGTAGCTCCAGCTGTCCTGGAACTCACTATGTAGATCAGGCTGGACTTGAACTCACAGAGATCTGCCTGCCTCTCCCTCCTGAATGCTGGGATTAAAGGTGTTCACCACCATGCCTGACACAAACTAAAACAATTTTAAAGGGCCAACTTTTCTCAGGCAAAGAGGATTGTCAAGTTTACAAGAATGCTAGCAAGAATGCCTTTGTGCTTAAGAAACCATGACAAGCACAGGATTTAACCTAAGTCATAGACTTCTATAAGACAGCATGTGACAAAAATAATCTTTGTGATAGAATTGATAATAACACATCATTTATAAAAAACATTTTTCTATCCATGGTCCTGTTGTAAATATCAAGAGTTGCTATATGGAATCTTTTGATTTTAAATAATTAAAATATAATTTAAATACATTTACTAGAATCTAATCATTGTAGAGTAAGAATTATAAGATCCTTTTAGTGCACTGAAATTCCTTCCCATTGTCAGTATTCACTATTCAAGTGTCTGTGTCAACATACATCAATATAGTATGGTTACCTAGTACTAAGTCATTGTCTCCATATCTAATGCAAATATCACAGGCATAGAGGACTTCAGTTCCATGCACCATGCATGGAAATCCTGGAGCACTCCACGATGAGTGTCACAAGTCAACCTGGAACTAAACAGAGGGCATTTGCTGGCTTAGCAATTACCTAATGAAATGGATGAAAGGGAACTGCACAAGTGAATTACCAAGGAAAAAAAGTGAAAAGAAAAGAGAAATTCTCTTGGGCATAGTGAGAACCATTTGTTCATTTCAAAAAGAAAATGTGGATCAGTAGCAATGAATTATAGAATAATTACAACCCACTGTTTGGTCATGCTGCTGTCCCATGTTCACCTTCTATAGGATGTTTTGAAGGTAAAACAAATCTGCTATTGAAGAAGTACCCACTCAATGAACTCATTCATTTGCCCTACAACAGAAAACTGGATGGAACTGCTTTATTGCAAGAAACATAAATGAATTTATTCAAATGAAGCACTGGTGGGAAGCAGAGCATGGAAAATTCTCTCATTCAAACAGCAGGAAGAACTTTTGATGATATCCTGTCACTTGTATTTTTTTCCCCTGCCAAATCCATGGTAAATAGAGATCACCAGATTCTTGACAGCTCCCTTGCCCATGTGTAGACTGGCATGCATATACCTCTACCTCAGTATTTCTCTCTCTCTCTCTCTCTCTCTCACACACACACACACACACACACACACACACACACACACTAACCACCACCACTACCAGTTGCCTTGAGAGAGGCTGCCATTTGGGAAGATGAGAGACATCAAAAGTGTGAGTCAGCACGAAAGAGGTATTTGAAGCTTAGTGAGTAACTAAGGTAAGCTGTCTGTGTTTGAGTGATATGAACCTTTGAGAATGATTCATGGTCAGTTTCCGGTAACTCTCTAAACTTCCAAAGAAATGTACAGAGTTCACATCTGGCATTCAATTTGTCACTGTCTTATACTGTGAGACAGATGCATGTGAGGCAGACTCGCTTAAATGATCATTGCCTTGGTGGCCACTGACGCTCTTTATTATTTGCAGGCGTGGACTCCTCTGTCTCTTTTTATTGACTGTTGACTTTTTAATTGTCTGAGACCTATTTATGAGATGAGTGACTCTGAATTTTTCAAGGACCCTTTTTTAGGTGGATATATTACTCAGGGAATTAGGTCTTAGGAGGATAATAATAAAAATCCCACGTTAAATTTGCATAGAAGGTAAATTGGTATGATATTTCAATTTGTAGCTAGAAAAGGCCTAGGTATTTACAAACATGTCTGGGAAAAGATCACCTTTTGTCCACTCATGGTGACTTCATATTGCATGATTGTTCTAAGCTGTTCCCCATTTAATTCATTTCCCAAGTCCACATGAATGAGGACAGGGTTACCACTTTAATCTAAATCACGTAAAATTTAAAGCAGTTCTATATGCCTTCCATATGTTTATATGTGCACCCAAGTGTCTTGAAAACAAACCCCCCAATACTCCAGGGTCATTCTGTCCTATTCCTTCATTGAAAGGCATAGGAGAGTGAGGGTAGACCGTGAAATCTGAAGGAAGGCTCCACAGGAAGCAGTTAAAGACACACTGTTAAGGAAGAAAATTCTACCTTAAATCTCCAAAACGCTGCTGAAGCCCAACTGAAATGCTATGCTTATTTTAAAGTACAGGACCTCAGAGGCTGGAGATGGCTGCTGGCCATGGCCAGGCATTCAGTTATTCATACAGTCCCTGCAGTTGTAAATTCATAGAGCCATATACTTCAGACTTTCAGCAGCATAGGGAAGGGGGTGGGTGGACAAGAGCTACTTACTAAAATAAAAGCCCCTGTCTCCACACACGAACTGAAGAGCATCCACCAGCTCAGCCCCGCAGAGTGTCTCTGGTCCAGCTGTGGCAGAGCTGGTGAAGGTGAGCAAGCAGAGTGCCAGGTAGAAGAGGTGGGAAGAGTTCATTGTGTGCATCTTTACCTGCAGAAACAAAAGAAAGAGGGTCAGGTGTCCTAAGTCCTTGAAGGTTAATGGGGTGGGAAAAGAGTGCACATTGCCTCTCAGTATCCCTTGCTGTCATTCATCAAGACTATTCAGCACGGAAAAGCCTCAAGCAGGAAGGGCCCCTGTGAGTCCTGTACTGAACCCGTTTTGGTGTCAGACAACCTGTGCTTAGTACCTTTGCTGCTGGACCTCGAGAAGTCTTCTTGAGAGTCTTCTTTATTGGCTCTTATTACAAATAAATAGGTCAAGAAAGCTGCAAACATTGACTAGGCAAACAAAAGATGCTATTATTACAGTGGGGTCCCATACTACTCAGAAAAGCCTGGTAAATCTGTTGAATTATCTAAAGTTAGATTGTGCTCAGTATAACCTCTCAGCCAGATTGTTTTGAATTTAAGTTCTCTAAAACTTGGTTGTCCACAGATGGCATATACATTCATTATTGACCAGAATATTAAATTAACTAGGGCATCATTCTCTGGCTACTGATTAAGAAGATTTTACTCTGGCCAGAGAAGGACTTATGAAGACATAACAGAGGGAGAGAGAGAGAGAGAGACAGAGAGAGAGAGACAGAGAGAGAGAGACAGAGAGAGAGACAGAGAGAGAGAGAGACAGAGAAGTTATCTGAGAATATTAGCAGCTAATACAACCATAAGTGGAAAACAAGCAAACCAGAAACAGGAAAAATAAGAGAATTTGGATGAAATATCCAAACGTAGGGGCAGAAAGGTGTTGATACCTGTCCTCACACATCATAAAGTTGTTGTCTATACCTCTATAACAAAATGCAGGCTGATAAGAGAAAAGCATGATATATTTATGTAATTAGATGTTTATGTGATGTGAGAGCCTTCAAAATGAAGGCCTAAAAAGCTAGGGAAAACTATCCTAGTTTGTTGCTGCTGCTGCTGCTGCTATGCTCAGTTCAATGAGCATGGACAGCTGGTAGAAACGTGATTAGGCAAAAGATCTATGATAGAAAGACAGTAGACTGAGGTGGTAAACTCAGAAAGTCTTGTCTCTTGATTCTCCATTGCATTTCTGTGAAGCATTCCTATGTCCTAGGTATAGGATAGGACCATTCTGGAAGAAGAGCCTGATAATGGCCCACCATGAGGCAAGATAGGCAACAGATTTCTTTTTGGCCAGAAAACAAGGGCAAAGTTAAAATCAGATCTTTAGGTTTTATGGCTGCCTCTGGGGAAGAGGATTTCTAGTTTCTATGTCTGCCCTGGGGAAGAATGGCAGGCAGGAAAAAAGAATAGAAGGTCAGAAAGAGGCTCTGCTCCTGAGACTCTCAGTCTCAGCATGCCAAAGAGTCATATTTTGGGGTACAATTTTCTGAGCCCCAACAGGAAATACATTCTTACATTCTAAAGTCCTTCTCTTCACCTTTACTATTAAAGCAACACATGCAGAAAGTATCTTTCATACACAGGACACCAGGCTTAAAACCTGAAAAAGTCTTTTCTAGAGTAACAGAAATTCTGAATTAATCTTTTGGAGGCATTTGTGTGTCACTGTATCAGTTTTATAGCAAAATCTAGCAAGGGACCCTGGTTGGCACAAGTTAGTCAATAATTGACAGCCAAATGGCAACCCTGCCAAAGTCAGGATTCCTGTGGCTCAAGTCCCTGTTTTCACTCTAAGAAGTAGACAAGTGCTACAATGACCATATTACATCTTTCCATATTGCTACTTGTGGCACCAAGATGTAATTTCTTCTAGGAAGGCTCCCAAGGTGAGTAGCTCCACCTTTGTCAGATACGTGTTCTCTTAGCTGTATGGGAAAGAACCACTAATCGGATGTCAGGTGAGCCACCCTAATAAAAGGACCATGGAGTTACACTGGAAGCTGTGATTTTTAAAAGGAGTCTTCTTTGAACCTCACCTAGGGGCAAGTCCTTTCGATCCCATCTGTTTTTTAAGAGACTCAGACATTTAATTTATGTTCACTTTCTCTGTCCTATGTGAAGTCTCAAGTTAATGGCTCTGCATCACTGGAAAAGTTTGCTCTATCATTTTAAACAAGTTTTCAATTTTGTGGCCAAATCTTCAGTCCAGTAATTGGAGAGGGCAGGGACTCCAAGTCCCTGATTCTTGATAACACAAGGTAAATATTTAGTTAATGCTTATAAAACAGATCTAGATGAAAAGCATTCTCTATTTACAAGTCATCATGAATAGTGGACATGAAATTAAGGGGGAGGATGAGGAATCTCAGTGTCACTTTTAATCGCATTTTCTCAATAGTGCCTTAGCATAGAAGCCTCCCATCTCCACACAACCAAAGAACCAATGACACTGGATTTTCTAGGAACAAGCTAATATCTAGTCATTTTTCTCTGTTATAAATTGGGGGGGTTTCCTCTTCAATATTTCCAGTGGCAACCTGAACAAATCCAGCCCAACTGGGCTTCGTGGTCCCTTGTGAAAGGGCAACCCCATAACTGGTAAAACAGAACATATCCCCACAATTTGGCAACAGGCCAGTGCTAGAATTTTTGTCTCTCCACCAAACCTAGTTCTGCACTTGTCCCTCCTTTTGCTGAGTTTTTCATGGTGCTGAAAGCCAGCCACATGCAGCTCTTTAGTTTCCACAAACTCCATGAGAACTATTATTCCACCTCACAGCTTTTGTACATTTAGATCCTTACAAGATGTCACAAATCACATTTTAATACTTATTTTTTGCTATAGCACATTTAAGTCTAGCAATACATATTAATTGTGAGCATTAAAAAACCTGAATTTGTTTTAACCGATTTTTCTTTTCCCTGCTGAAAGGAATTGTATTGAAATATATTTCCTGATAACTATCAGTGCTTACGATTCTAGGACAAGATAGAACGTCTGGTACAATTTCCTTTAGCTCAAGAGAACAGTCCAGCACACCCACGGAGAACCAGAGACCTTGTCACGTTACGTTCCCCAAACAGAAAACAATAATGAACTTGCTTAGGAGTTAAAAGTTTGAAACAAGTCTCCCCATATGTTCTCCATTTCCTCAGCCTCTTATTTTGTCAACCACAAAGAAAATGAATAGAGAGAAAGCATAGATGTGATAGAGAGAGGGTAAGGAAGCACCAGAGAAAACCAGGGTGAAAAAAAACCATTCCAAAACTCAGAACACTCTTCTTCAAAGATCGGCCACAAATCCACGTTTTCAGAGACGATTCTGTGTTAAATAAGTGGAATATCAGTTGATTCCAGATGTCTGAGTGACAATTAAAATGCCTGGTAAAAACACGAGGGCACTGTTCATAAGAGATACTTACTGTAGGTGTAATCATTTTTTGTTTGTTCCAGGTCTTTTACAGCAGGTCAGGGTGGGTATTATGAGACTGATGTGAATAGAAAACTAAGACTTAAAACCATGTGCTGCTTTGTGGGTGGGGTTTGCGAAAGCATCTAGTTACATTTGGACACCCAGGCAGGTATGCTATGAGCCTGGGTAAACTGCCTTTTGTCCATTCAAACAGTGAGCAAATTGTACAGCAGGGAGTTGAGTCAATCCTTTTCCACTAATCAAGCCTGATTTCCATTGTATGCCTATCTGTCTTGGCTGCCCAGAACAATGATCCAAGTCCCAGTGGGTTCCCTCCCTGCATCCCCCCTTCCCCTAGCTCAAGCACCAGGAAATACCTTGAGACCTAGAGCACAAAGCCAGCCTGTGCAGGGCTGTGTTAGGCAGTGCACCTTTATTCATTGAATTACATTTGAAAGAACTCACAACGGCTCCCTCCAACCAACTCCTGCTGCAAGTATAAAAAAAAGTTAACAGCATATTGCTAGCTCCACTTCTGTGGTGTTCAGCAGAGCCAGCATGGAAAGAAAGTTCATTTGGAGATGATTTTCCAAATTCGCAATGTGTGTTGAGATAACATTCCACAACCTCTTGGATGATCCCAGCTGCCAGACCACACAGCATATAGGAACACTGACTTCGCTCCTGTCAGGTGGCTGGAGCCTGCTGGCATCTCAAGGATGGCAGAATTAGGCTCCTGACAAGGTTACCTCCTTAATGCCCAAGCCACTTCCTTGACTAAGAAAAGTCCTAGTGCGGAAAGCAGCAAAGAAACGCTGCACTTGGTGGCTGGGATCTTTTATGAATTGAGCCCTTCCGCAACTGCCTTGGAGGAGCCAGTGACAGCGGCTTAAAAGTGCTTGCAAATTGAAAAAACACAAGTCTGGAAGGATATAATTTTGCTGAGAATGGAAACTTGAACTAGAGCCAGTGATCAGAAACAAGAAGTCCGCGCATTGACAGCGGCAGCCAAATTTACCTAAAGAGACTTTTACCACACCGAGTGTAAGAGCAGAGCCTCACAATCAGAAATCCAAGCCCAAACTTTGCCGGTGAAAGTCCTTTTCCACCGAGAAAAGTTGGGCAAGCAGCTGCTAGAAAGTTTCTGCTTTCAGTATCCAGTGTGCAGTTGTTTAACATTTCTGAATACCAAAGACAGAAAGTTGTCCCGGAGCTCGGAGCTCTTTTTCAGAAAAGCAAATTAAACTTCACTCTAACTTTGACTTTCTGGGCATAAGTGCAGAGAATTCCTGATTCTTGGCTCCAAAAGCCGTGTTTAAAAGCTTTCATATCATTCTAAAATGTAACTTTTAAATCTGTGACATGCCTTGTAAATAAAGTCCTGACAAATTACCCCTACAACACACGGACAGACGGACACACACACACACACACACACACACACAGTCTTAAGAAGAAACAGTCTGCACCTGTGAAAGGAAAGAAAAACTCCCCGTTTATATCCGTGCTGTCTATCCCCCAGCCATAGGCAGGATTTAAAACAATCTCCTAAAATGACAGCATAGAAGCCCTGCAGGAGCAGAAGATTTAGCATAAGTACCTTGCAATAGTTTTACTATACAGATATCTCTGCAAAAGCATTCGTCTCCCGTAGCTCTCTTTACAGATCTCACAGAATTGCATATTCAGCAATCTATACATAACTCCCAGTTCTGAAACAATGAAAATTCTAAAATGAATAACAGTTCTAGACAGAAGAAAACAGTATACAGTTTAAATACAATTCCCCAATGACTTCAAAGAGCAAGAAATATTTACCTTCAAGAAATCACAGAAGCAGCACTTAAATAACTGAGTTGGAAGACTGCTGGTTTTTCCCATTGCTTCTGAAGTACAAAGTCTGAAAATGAATTGGTGAGCAGGGATAACGAGGGAAAAAGAAATCCAGAGCGATGGGAGATGTTGAGAGCAATGTCACATTTCAATTTTGAGGACTTTATTCCATTGCGCAGGCTCTATCTGCTCTGAATTTAGCAGTGACAGTGAGATTTAGCAAACAGAAGAGGGATTTAGAGAAAATCCTCACATTTATCTACAAAACACAGACACTGTAGACAGGAAACAGCTGGGGGAACATTTGCCTTCTCTCTCTCTCCCTCTTCTGGCAAAGTTACCGAGTAAGGACTTTTTTGGGCACGGTGACAAATAACATCATACCTTTGCTTTTTAAAACTAGAGCACAGAAGCATTTTTTTCCCTTAAAAGAATGTGTGTTAGTGACAGGGTTAGCAGACATTAAAATACTGACACTGCTATAGAAAATAAAGGTCTGTTCTCTGATTAACTTTCTATCGGGCATGAAGACATACAGGTCTAATACACCTTACCAGAGGTAAGGATTAGAGGAACATAAATGTGATAGGGGAGTGATTTTATATTTTAGAGCAAATTCAAAATTTGTAAAGAAGGAAAAAGTAAGAAAAGACCCGCTCCAGAAAGCCCTACAATGTTAACCCTGAAATGACTGGGGCGGACTAGGAAGCCAGCACTCGGGTGACCCCTTGTCCTAGTTGCCAAGTGAAGGGAATGATCTCATTTCCTAAAACCTATAGACGAGCAGGCAGCAGTGGATTGGCTCCCGTTAGGACACTGTCTCATGCTTTGTGCAAAGCAAGAGACTATGCCGAGCTTTGAAACCAACCGAAAAAGAAAACAATCTTCCTTATTTTTCTACAAGGCTGACTGCCTGTCACCTCCCTAACCCCAGGGAAAGAGTATGTGAGGGGCATAGTATTCCCATGTTCACCATATTTTTCAGCATAACGTGAATGTGTGTGTGTGTTTTCTTTCTCCTTTTTTTTTTTTTTTTGTATTCCAAATAACACCAGCTGGCTAGCAATACCCTCTTCAGGGTTATGATGTCATCCAAATCCCTCAAATGGGTGAGTGGCTGGCAACATGGTCCAAGCCAGCTGTTTTGCTATTTATAATGTATACTTGCCTTTGCCATAGATAATCAAACTCTGATCTTTTGTTGATACTGTTTGTACTTATTTTTCTGTGCTTTTGGGAGGTAGTAGATAAGAAAGTGGATTATGAAATAAGGTTACAAAAGCACTTTCCTGGATGTCTCTCCAGGTGTGGTTTCCCAGGGGAGGTGGAAACAAGCCAGACCTTGCTGCTCCCTCTCTTGATTCTCAGGGGATGCAAAGGGATTGACATATCAGCTGAAACAGATGTCCCCTGGAAACCCTGCTCTGCCTCTTTATGATTTCCTGCTGACACAAATCTATTGGTAGAGACAGCTGCCTTTGAATGAAACCTGTTTGGTTTTGCAAGGGGGTTGGACTTGGTCAAATCATCTGTGTGGTCAATACTTAATAGCTATATTTACCCTTTAGAAATAAATGTTAGAAATCCAGAGTTAGGCTGTTCCAGTGGTGGGTGATGTTTGGCATCATGTTGTGAGAGCACGTACCACATACTCAATTGCACACACCTCTAGAGGAACAGAGAGGAAGAAGACAAAGGCAGAAAAGTTAAAACTTCACTGCCATGTACTGGGCATGTACTGTTTTAAAAATATGGACAGTGCACGATGGGAGGGGGTAACATGTTTCTTTGGGAGACAGAGAAGTGAAAGGTGTTTGAAAACTGAGAATGGAGGAGAGATTGGGGTGTCAGTGGGTTTGAGGGAGGGGGTTGGGAAGTTCCTGTGGTGGCATTGACCCACAGAACACACAAAGCTGCATCATCAGAAGGTTTGCATGTCCTGTGGGTGATCCCTGAATGTAAAGAATAACCCAAAGCTTCCTTTATAAAGCTCTCCTCATGCACTTGATTTATGATATTTTTACAAAGGTCTTTTTTATTTTTCTGCAACTTTGTGGATCACACTTTTCATTAAAAAAGGGGGAAAGAAAATCCCAAATGTCCACCCTCCTCTTAAGGACTTTGCTGCCGATATAGATTATAGGGAACCAAAGACCTGTTCTCAGTTCTCTCCTAAGTGAGAAAAACCATTGATTTCTCACTGTGGAGAATCAGGAGCAGGCTGGACTCTGGGTACTAAGTCCCTTGTACTTTAAAAAATATTTTATTAATTTTATTTCATGAGTATGAGTATATTGCCTGCATGTGTGTAAGTACACCCCTGTTGGGCAATGCCCGTGGAGGTCAGAAGTTGGCATTGAAACTGGAGTTACGGATGGTTGTCAGCCACCATGTGGGTGTTGGGAATTGAACCCAGGTCCTCTGCAAGAGCAGTCAGTGCTCTTAACCACTGAGCTATCCTCTAGCCCCTAAGTTCCTTGTTCTATCATGGGGTACTCTCACAGCCGAGGCAGTACTTTGAATCACCTCTTCCCAAAGCACTTGTAGCATACTTAATCATCCCAATATGTTCCAGAAGCTCACTGCATTTCTTCAAGTTTGTCACCCTGTCTGATGTGCTTTCTTGACACGTGCTATGCTATACACAGATTACCTTCACCTCAACAGTTTCATATGAAAGGCAGCTTTGAGAAAAACGCATACTATTCCATCAGACATTGCACTCCGGTAATATCGACACGTGAACTCACTTGGTTTATAACCCCAATTACCCTTAAAGGATAACTGAGTTTTAATTTATGTCCCAGTTTTTAATGCCACAATCAAAGAAAACTGAAATTTTAGTGAGTTGTAATTGTCATCAGCTGTGCTATGGAAACATTTTGATGTGAGCTATCGGTTTCTAATGAGGGAAAGCAATTTCCTGAAGTGATTAACATATATTTCAATTCAAAGAATGTTCTATATTTCTGAGGAGGGCGAGCCAGCAGCAGAGCAGGACAATAATTCTGGAGAAATAGCTATCTCTTTGCTCATTTCAGGAGTCAATATGAAAATGAAAGGGGCCATAAATATACCACACTATTACTTTTTAATGATAGAGTGCGGTACCTGTTTAGGAGAAAAAGCAAGGGATGTGTATGTTGGTAGAGCTCACGGTGTTAGTAAAGTTAGCACCTAGGAGAAGTTCAGGTCAGGAAATCCCATTGGAGAGAAATAGCTATGGTCATTTTAAAATGACTAAATGATTATGCAGTCGCCTGCCTGGAAAAAAAAATCTGACAGATATGGGAACTGTGTGTCACAAAAATAGCTACAAGGATGTGCTCATCATGAGAACATCCACTCTGGAGTCTCAGATTCACAGTTGCACCTTTTGCATGTGTAATGCCTGTTGGATATAAATAACTCTCCCCTCGAGCCTTCCACTTGAATGGCATATTTGCATAAAGCTGCAGCTTCAGAAGACTTCTGACTCCTTTCTTTAAAAAAATAAAATGAACTTGTTCACTTTCAGAAAGGGCAGGTTAGCTGAGAGTCACAGAAAGTGGAGCAATACCTAGTCTTCCCTCTTTTTGCTCAAGGTATATTCTCAATCATGCCTAGGTTCCTCCGGGAGTTGGGGGCAGGGTGGGAGTCTCAAAGGTCACATTGTTGCATCCTTGTGCAATTGAGTGTTTTAACAATTTGTGTCCTTAAAGCCTTTGTTGACCCGGAAGAGAAGCTCAGAATGGAGATTTGGAGGAAAAGGGCTTTTAGGATCAAACCAGGGTGAGGCCTAAGGTTCTATGCAACCCACCAGACTGAGAACTTGCTGAAAATTCAGGTGTCTCTCTTGGGTCTTTGTGGGGTAGGGTCTCTGGGAATGTATTAGCCAGTGTCTGAGGTGAAATGTTATTGATACAGAATATAGAACTTAGAAGAAAATGTTGTACCCTGAAAATCTGACCTGCTGCAGAGAAAGAGACCTACCTACCGCTAGCCTCATAGGTTCTGGGCAGATGTTTCTGTGGATCTTGGAAAGACCATCTAGAGCTTAAGGTTGCTGCTCTGTCTGCTTAAAGGAACATTTTCACCACAGCTAGGGAAAAATGGGAGCAGGGAGGAGGAATCCTCTCACTAAAGAAATCAGTGCTTTCTTTTCAACATCAAACTTGGATCTGATTTCTTCAAAAATGTCAAAAGGACAAATACTGGAAACAGAAACTACATTGTTGCGGTTTTGTGCGCAGAAGAATTCTAAGTGATGGCAGAAGAGGCGTCACTGCAAGGGGTAAAGATGGGCTGGTGGAGTGAGAAAACTCGAGGGCTCACCACATTTGCCTCAGATTCAACAGAGAGTGGGCAAGGAGACACCAGATCCAAACCTCAGGGATAGAACCCAGTTGGGCTGTTTCCTTGGGAATGGAAAAATGTGGGCGCCCTCTAGTGGGTATTTGGGAAAGTGCCACTTTAAACTTAACTGGCTGTGAGGTCTGGAAGTGTGTTGTGTTGTGTGTGTGTGTGTGTGTGTGTGTGTGTGTGTGTGTGTGTGTGTAAAACCCTAGATTTAAACAGAAGCTGCATATATCCTTATTTAATTAAATATTTTAAAATAAAGCAGATATTAGACTCACTTTCATGTAAAAAGGGGGAAGTGCTCACTGGGAAAGAAAGATAAAGTTCATGGATATCTTCATGCCTAGTCTCAAAGCTTAACTCCTGGCATTAGCTGAAAACATTTTTTTAAATGAATCAAAGTATGCAGAATAATGAATGATAAAGCACATTGTTTTTGAAATTCATAAACCCTCTGAGAAAAATGACCGATGTCCTTATTTTATAAATAAGAAAAATGGCACAGGATGTAAGGGTTGTTGGAGAGAAAAATGACTTATTAAATGAAATGAATTTAGGTGCTCATGAGAGAGCTTACACCCAGTCTCTCTGTGTGTCCCTCATGTTTTCTGATGCAGCAGTTTTCAAAATGTGGATTAGAACACCTGGAGTTAAAGTCCCTGGAATTAATGACCCAAGTAGGTATAGAAGGGATTCCATTTTCAATCCTCTTTCTGTCCTGAATCTACCAAGAAGAATGTGTCCGTCAGATTCTAGTCTGTTTTCAGTGCGTCCCTAACTTGCTTATATCCTTCTGAAACAAAGGGAAGCAGAAATGAAGCCCAATGTATTTCTGGGTAGTGGTTTCTATTTCAGAAGTCAACAATATTGTTTAGTTTTAAATATTTGATTTTAGGAACACCTTCTACTACAACAAGTGATAATGTTCTTAAAAATAAACACTTTGCTAGTTTTTAGAATGAGTTACATCTTATTCTGAAATT